TAAACTATACATGCGATTGAATACCAGCCGCTATAATGTGTTTACATAAATAATAATTGAAAAGTGACAATTACATGATGCATGATCTGTTACAAATGTATAGGCATATTCTATATAAATGTATAGGCAATATTCTATATAATAATAATAATTTTTTCTTGCAAATATTTTAAGAACTAAAATCAAATGATTATATATTGTAGAAAAAAGTTGTTTTGAATCTTATTCTCTATAACATATTTAAAAATTATCAAAATCAGAAAGGAAATAATTTTTTGCAATTTCATTTATAATTATAATCCATTTATAATGTTTTACTTATTATTATAATAATTATAATAAATAAAAAATTGGAGAAATTATATAAAATTATTTTTTTACAGTTTTATAATTGTAATATTTATTGTAATATATCATTGTTTTTTTTTTAAAAAGAGTGATTATAATAAGAAATAAATTCAGAAAAAAAAATCTTATAACTAAGATTAATTTATTTTATATTTCTTTTATAACTGCTGCATATCAATTAAATTTAAGACATGTGTCCATGTGCAATTAATTTATGATATTTTTCATGACTCTCATGATAAATATAAATAAAGTGATATGATTAAATATTTTTTTTTTGTGTCGATTAATTTCTACTTTTTAACAGCGAAATATATATGTTGAAATATCTGAAATATTTACTGAGATTTCAGAGTGTATCAATAAAAATGATAAAGAAAAAATTAGAAGAAAAAATATTTAGATTTATTTCATAATGTAAAATGTTACTCACATTTAAAACTAAAATTATTAAAATGGAATAAAGAAACAAAATATATATATTATAAATAAGTTTATCAATTTTAATGAAAATGAAATTACTCATAAACTGCGTAATTTATGCGAATTACTTAAAATCACACGTAGAAAATTATTGCTTTCTTCTTGATGCTTAATTCAGATAATAAGATTTTTATAAACATTGAATTTTAACATTGAATTTTTTACTCAACTTTTTTTTTTCTTTTTTAAAATTGACATTTTGATCGATATTTTGAAATAATAGAAACTTAAAACTTATTAGTTTCTTTTTGCAATATTTTACATTCCGAATAATAGAGATCATTATTAAGTATATAGACTATTCTCATTAATTACTGCAAAGAATGAGTTATATTTCTAAATAAATCTACAAATTACTCTCATAAAAAATATCACAAATTATTTATTAATGACTTGCATCATTAAAAAGGCATATGATTTCATCGCATCTTAGAATTGCACTTAATACATTATCTATAAAAGTTATCTATTGCTATGGAAAAGAATTGCTAAATTACGAATTTAGTTATCACAAGATTCTGATTTATTGTATAAGAAAATTTAGTGCTATTGAGAATGGGCTCTGATCGGTTGTATATTGATTTAATATGTGATAAAAGTTGTTATGATAGGAATTTAATTCTAATAAGTTGCTTATATAATGACAGGATGGATTCTGATAAATTCTAGGTTAGAAATCGTTATTATGATAAGAATTGCGATCTTAATTTGCTATCTGTAATAAGATGATCTCTAATGGATTTTTATAATGGTATGGATATGTTTGAAATGGTGTTAATTTGTTTGTTATGATTGAAGGAAAAAAAAATGCAACTTTACTTAATATTGAATTTATAAGAACTGAACTATTTATAAGAACTGATCTATAAAATTAAAATTTCTAATTTCAAACACGACTAGACTGATTTTGTCCCAAGATCTTATTATTGTTATTTATCTCTCTTTCGCAACACAAACCTTTTTATCTCGAAATAAGATTTAAAAAGAACATATTTAAAAGAATATTTCTTATTCTAAATTTTCCTTTAAAAAAATAATTCCTGTCGCTTTTCCAATATAGCTACGATAAACTTTAAAATGAAGTATCAAAGAGTTGTGTAAAAGTATATTTTGCATCAAAATGGCTAAATTATCTCTCAGGACTATTTAACTTCTTTGCAAGCCATATAAGTTTGGCTTGCGGTTAACCACTCTTTGTCTTCGAAGAGACGTACATTTATATTGATTCTTTCATCAAAATCAGACTAATCACCATTATATATATATATATATATATATATATATATATATATATATGCTTCTATTTTTAATGCATTATTTTTAGTTTGATTATTAGTTTTTAATAGTGTATATGTAATAGTGATTAGTCTATTGATGGTAGAATGACACTTGAAAGAAAAGTTTTTTAGAGATATAATAGAAACTTTTCTTCTCAAAAAATCAATCAAAAAAAAAAATTATGGACCATAATCAGTTTATAAATCGCCAATTGTATAATCATGTTTTAAATTAATTATTGTTACTAAATACTTAATAGCCTGTGTGACATATAGAAATTCATTATATTCATTCATTGTATCAATAATTTTAATAATTTGGTGACAACGAGAAAAATAAAAATTTTTCAAAAATTACATATTGATTATATGCAAACTTAAAAAAAGAATTATTTATTAGATAAAAAGACTGTTAAAAACTTAAAGAAATATAAAATAATGTATAACAAACTGATGAACATATGTTACTTTATTGTTTGCTCTAATATATTATATAGAAAAATCATATTATAGTTATATTTAAAATATTCCTTACAAATATTAAAAAGTAACAAATAATGAGAATTGTTATAATTTAAACAAAATATTAGAATTAAAAAATTATTTATATATATTTTTTATATATAAATTATATAATTATATATAAATAATTTCTTTATGAAAAATATAAAATATTATTATATATAAAATATGAAGTATCATATATAGTATATTTAGAGTATATTTAGAATGCATTATAAAATGCATTTGAAAAATTTTAAAGATCAAAACAATATAAAAGATAGTAATAAATGATATAAAAATATTGGTTAAAATTTATTTATTGAATTATAAACAATTAAAATTTAGAAGCGAGACAAAAAAAAGTAAAACCGTTAATTTTGTTATAGCAATTTGTTCATTTCATTTCATTTAATTTCAATGAATTTAAATTGCTTATAACTTAATGAATAACTTAATAAATAAATCTCAATCGAGATTTCTATCATTAGATCTGTATGTTATATTTAAGAATTAAAAGAAATTAAATCATATTTTAAAATATAATTATATTCTACTGAAATTATTGTGAAAACTGAAACTGCAAATTATTGAAAACTGCAAATTATTCAAAAAAATAACAAAATTATTCAATAAATTATAAAAAATCAAATAATAACAAAAATATAGGCATGATTTTAATTATTAAAAACAACAAAAACAACGAATTAGAAACTGTATAATAGTTTGAAAAATGCCTCAAAGATTATAATAGTTGTGATTCAGATTGCCGCAAGTATATATTTCTAGAAATATTAACAGTTATTGAATTATTACATTGATTTTTATCTATATATATGCATTTATGATCTGTGCGTTATATGTGATCACTTATATTTATTTACTGTTATTTTAATATATATTATGTTCAGCATTTAAAATATACAATATATATATATAATAAATAAATATTATCCAATAAGCTAATATAATTTATATCTATCTATAATATCTATCTATAAAGAATCTCTAATATCTATCTATAAAGAATTTGATCCATAAAATGCCAAATTGAAGTATAAAGCAGTAATCGAAGTTACAATAATAAATGTAAAGTTAATATCACGTAACAATAATTTCGATTATCCAAGAATTATTTTATTTTCGCATTTCATGAATCCAAAAGATTGGATTCATATTAATTCATTAATATCAATATTAATATCAATTAATATCAATATTATTTCATCCATAATATATAGATACTGCCATGTATCTGTTTATAAATATATTTATAAAAATAAATAAAGATTCAATGTAATATTAGCAAAAATTTTTGTTAATCTGGAAAACTATGAATTTGTATTTACAATTACAAATTTTATAGTTTTTTAGTTAAATACTAATTTAATCCTTAAGATATAAATTTTTAATCGAGATATCATATATTCTCTAATTTATATCCGAATAATAAAATGTCTACTAATTAATATAAAATTAAATTGATGAAATTTTTTATCAATATGAATTTTAGTTCAAATATGAATTCATGAATAGATATAATTTTTGAAATAAATCATAGTTTTTATTTATTTTAATAATTATTTTACTAATTACATTTAATGAAAGTTCGATTATTCATATTTTTTTATTGAATAGTGATTTTAAATTATCGAATTAATATATTTCATTGATAAAAAAATTTAAATTAATTATGTAGTACAATAAAAATTTTATTATAATTTATAATACAAATTTAATAAAAATTTGAATTCAGTTGTGAATGTTAATTAATTTTATTAATAAGAAATAATGAAAATTTTGCTATATTTTATGGTATAAATTTAATAAAAAGTTCTAATAATTTTAAAATATATAATATTAAAATATAAGTAATATTAAAATATAAAGTTCTAATTTAATATTTTTTATATTTCAATTGTTAATAACAATAAATAATTTTTGTTATTAAAAGAATTTAATATAAAAAATTAATTTTCTAATATTTTTCTATTAATTTTAATCATTTATAATAGAATTTAATAACAAATTTATTTTATAACAAAATATTTCATTTATTCTTTAACTTTTCAAAAAATCTTATTTAGTATGAACGATATAAACATTTTTATTACATTGTATATATTCAATATAATTTTTAAATTGCAGATACTTATGCTTTTATAAAAAATTAAAAAATTCACAATATACAATATATATAATAATATATAAAAATATGTAAAAATAAGATACTTATAATTTGAACGAAAAAATTTCTATTTTTATTTTTTAATATTAAACATGTTATTATAAAAATTAAATATTAATATAAAAATAAATTTTTTTAATTTAAAAATAAATTTACATAAAAATCCACAGTTTTTTGTTATTAAAATATTTTTAATTACTTACTATCATTGAAGTCAAATACATTTTCCTCTTCTTCTGGCGACAAAGTTGTTGTCGTTACATTGATCTGAATATTATTATTTTCAGGAACGCCAGAAATTGCCTTTGAAGATAATGTGGCCATTATTTGCGCAGTATGTGCAAGTATCAACATCGTTTGATTCACAAACATTTCACAAAAATTTCTACAATAATTTATAATATTTAAAATATTCACAATAATTCATAATATAAATTAAATAATCACAATTTCAACTATTTCGTTTTTTTCTCAAGTATGTTAATGTTTAATATAACTTTAAATTGAAACACTTTATTGTCAGTGAACACTTTGCAAAATATTATTTTTTTCTTCTTTCTTCATATTATCCGTAATTAATAATATATTTCCAATTAATAAAATTTAATAATTTATTGAATAATTTTTTTTATCTTATTAATACTTAAAAATTTATAATAATATCAAACTTTTTGTAATAAAAATAAATCATGCATGTTTGATTTAAAAATAAAATTTACATTGTTCAAAAAATTAAACAAGTATAAAAGAATATATTAAATATAAATAATTTACACAATTAAAATATTCGAAAAAAAATTTAAAAAGAGTTTTGAAAAATTGTAAATTTAAAAAGAAAAAATGATATTGAAATACAGAAAAGTGTATAAATATACAAATTATCAAATTAACATAACAAGAATTAATTATAAATTAATTAACATAATTAAGAATATAAAAATTTTTAAATTAAATGCTCTATATAAATTTAAAGATAGTAAAATACAAAAGATTTAAACGCAAAAATATAAAAAAACATAAATTGAATAAATAAAAATTGGAATAAAAGATTATGTTCAAAATTCATTAAATAATTAAAAACTAAAACATACTTATTTATAAATTTGTTAATAAAAAAATACATAAAATTCAATCTCGTAAATCAAAATAAACAAAATAAAAGTTTCTTCTAGAGGCACAAGAACTCTTTCTTTCGTGTCTTCTATTTTCTGTATTCTATATTCAGTCAACAGCAACGATAAAAAATTGATTGACGCAAATACCGATAACTAAACTGTCCATTGGTTCCAATCATTTGTTGCAAAATAAAAGCTTTCCAACATCAATGTCGAAATAGTTAAAATTATATTCTTCTTACAATAATTATAAAAATACTTGTATTGGATATCTCGATAATTTTTTAACGAACGTGACCTTGATCTTGTTAAGCAAACTTGATCCAAATGAGTTCATCGATGTCACGATCTGTTTTTTAATGATTTTTCGAATTGTTCATGCACCATTTGGAGAATATCTAAAATAAATTTGAAATTGATTATTTGAAAAAATGTGAGAATAAATATTTTTTAATTTTTGTTTATAATATTATAATATATTCATTAAAAAAATTAAACAAATAGAAAATAAATATAATTATTTATAATTGTTTTCATTATAAAAATAATAAATATTCAATAAAAAAATATTTTAATGTTTTAATATATATGTATACATAATATTTATTTTATAATTATATATATAATTATAATTATATATATTCAATATTTCATTTAAAAAATATCTTTTCATATTCATAAATAAATGAATAAAGTTATCAAAAATATTTTATTTTTTTTAAAAATAAAGAAACAAAATATTTTTTATAAAGTTAATTAAATAAAAATTTACTAGATATTTTTTAATAGTTTTTATAGTATTAAATATCTTTATAATACTAAAATGTAAAGATTAATATCAAATGAAATGGTGAATTTGAAAAACATCATATATTTTCAATGAAAATTTTTAATTTAAAATGTAAATTTATATTTTAAATTTAAAAATAAAAAAACGTAAAATATTTTTTATAAAGTTAATTAAATAAAAATTTACTAGATATTTTTTAATAGTTTTTATAGTATTAAATATCTTTATAATACTAAAATGTAAAGATTAATATTAAATGAAATGGTGAATTTGAAAAACATCATATATTTTCAATGAAAATTTTTAATTTATTTATTAGAAATTAGTTTAGTAAATTGCGGATTTTATTTTTGATGAATCTAAAAAATATTCAAAATATATCATTATATTATATATAATTATTGTATATTGTATATTTATAATTATTGTATATTGTATATATTTAGGTAAAATTATTACATTATATTTTTACAGAAATCAATTTTAATTATTTATAAATGTAATAATATTATAAATTTTAATTATTTAAAATATATTTATACATTTTACTTAATAAATTTTATATTATATTTAAAATTATTTTATATTTTATTTTATATTTTATTTAAAATTATAACATTATATATTTATTTTTCTCAATTTTTTGATAAATTGCTATTATTTATATGAAAAAATTGAAAATAAATTTTCTATTTAATTTCTAATAAATATGTCATGTAATATATACTAATATATTCTATATAAATTCTACATGTTCTAAACATCTCATACATAGAAACATCAGTTAATTGAATATGTCATTGAAATGTATAGAATCAATATCTAGCTTCACAATTCGACAAATTTACGCACTCTATAGCAATAAATTTTTTTTGATATTCTTTGTTGATAATTCATTAACAAAACGAAAATTTTTACACAAGAAAATATTGAACTTAAAATTAACTTAAGAATTCAATTAATCAAGATTTGATATTTTTAGGACATTCTATATATAGACTATTCACAATATTTTTAATTTTATTCATATTATATCAAGAACAAAATTTTATTTAAAATTATTTATACAACAAATAAAAATCAGAAGAAAAATATAATATAATTTATGTTTAAATTAAATACATATAAAATATGAAATATATGTATTTGCTTAAAAATCTGTACATCTAATAATTAATGCGTTGAATATTCATATATAACAATATTCTATTATTTATTATTAATGAGATTTTTATTTTTTTATTAAATTAATAATAACTCTTATAAAAAAAATAAATGTTATTTAATATATTTAATTTATAATTGCATTTCTTTACATTTTTTTCTATTAATTTTGTAAAATTTTAATTCTATCAAATTGTTTAATAAATTCTATCTATTATCTCATTCTACATAATATATCTCCTTATATATGAAGTTATAAATGAATTTAAATTGAATTATATCACAAAATAAATCTAAATAAATATATTAATTTATTTCAAGAAAGAAGTAAAACAACAAATTAAAAATTTCTCCAAAATATTTTTATTCATACGTTAAAAATTTTATCTTCATAAATATAAAAATTTAAAAAATTGTTTAAAAATATGATCAAAATATAAAAATTTAAAAGTTTTACAATTAAGAATTTCAGAATTTAAAAATTTCATAATAATTAGCAAAAATTTATTCAAATTAAGCAAAAACTTATTCACAACATTAGAAACAACATTGAAACTTTAAAAAATTATAAATTTCAAAATAAAAATTTTAAATCATCAAAAATTAGTTCAAAGACTATCTGAAAATTCAAAGTTTTCATAATCGATATCAAAAAAAAAAAAAAAATAAAAATTTAAATTCATTAAGAAATTTTTTTTTTGTTTTAAATTAATTCAAAAATTAATCTAAAGAATCTCTAATATAAATATATAAATAATCTAAATCCTAAAGATTCAATTAAAAATTCATATACATTTGAAAAATATTTTCTCTTACCTTGCAAAAATTACAATGTTTAGAAAATCCTTCATTGATAAAAATATAATTAATTAAATCTCAAATACACTGTTCGTTTGAGAATTCAGTCAAATAATCGGAGTTATGAGATACAGACACGAGTTCACTGATCGAGTAAGCAACGCATACTAATCACAGAAAAATGTGTACAGTCCAGCTTTATCTCGCCCCACTCTTTCTCTCTCTATGTTTCGTTGATCTGCTTTTTTTCACTGTCTTGGACAGAATACATACAGAGAACTTCCTCACGGAACCGGACAAGTCATTTGAGTGGCCTGTTACAAGAAAAGAGGGTTAGTCTTTATTTGAATATGAATATAATATTCGAAAATCTATAAGTTTTTAAAAGAATTTTGTAATATTATCGCTTTAAAATATTATTTAAAATTTTAAATAATATAATTAATTCAAACATTAATAATTAATACTAACTTTTTTTCTTGTAAATAAATAATTTAATTCTTCAAGTTCTGACATTAAAAATTTATAACAATAAGTATTTTAGTTTATTATTATAATAAATTATTATTATTATTATTATGTTTAATTATATATATTAATCAATACTATATATATTAATCAATCAAAGTTAATTATATCAATATGAATCAAAATTAATTTCAATGATAATCCTTTTTTGTAATATAATGCTTTCTAATATAAAATTCTTAACATAAAGAAATATTAATTATTCATAGAAAGATCATTTATGATTAAAATATATAATATAAAAAACTAATATTTATTATTAAAAATATAATTTCTCAAAAATGTATTTTAAAATTGAATATTTATTATTTTATAATATTTAAATATTATATTTTCTTAATCATTATTGAACACAAATAAAAATTAAATTAACTAAAATTATTTTTAGTTTTAGAAATATTATTTATATTAAAATATTATTATGAATAAACATTGAATTTAGAATTTAAAAAATATATAAAACTATAAATATAAAAAATATAAAATATAAAAAACTTATATTTCTTTCTATTTTTTATAATTTAGAAGAACTTTAATATTTATTAAGTATATTAATATTAAGAATTGTCGAATTATTTTGTTTTCAAGTATTTTGATTTTATTTTAATTTGATATTTTATTTCTTTTTAAAATCATACTAGTGTTTTAATCAAGGATTCTACATACAATCATACATAGTGATTTATAATGAATTACATACTGAATTAATGTAATGAATTATAACAATATTATATTATATAAAAATCGATGCTGTTTTTCATTTTTATATTTAATTACAAATAAAGTTTAAATAGATGCGTTTAGAATGAAATCAATGTAATATACAATATAATATATTACATTATAATTATATAAAAAAATTCACAATTAAATTAAAATAAATTATATATATCTTCCTAAATATCTTCCTAAAAATAGAAAAAAATATTGTCAAATTTAAATGGCATTTAATGAAACATAATTTGGATATATATATATATATATATATATATATATATATANTATATACACACAAAAATAATACACTTTATTATACTTATATATATATAATATAATATATTATGATATATATAGATGATAATTAAATGAAATATATAAAATTAATTGGATCACTGATTCATAATAATATTTGACGAAATAAATATTTTAAATATTTAATATTTTAATATTTTTTATTTGGCTTAAATAAAATATTTTAAAGAAATATTTTAAAATTTTGATAAATAACATATTTCCACTTTAATAATCTGAACTATAAAATAAAATATTTTATTTTTATAATCTAAAATTAAATATTTTATTTTAATAAAATCTGGCATAAAATAAAATATTTTAATCTTGCTTAAAATATTGGATTATTCTACAAATAATATGGTTTTTTCAATTTTTTTTTAACCTTAAACTTAATATTTTAAAACTTAATATTTTTATCATTGAAATATTGAAAGAAATAAAGATGGAAATAAGTTAGGAAAAATATTTTTATAGATAAAAAAAAACCGTCTCATCGCTGTCATTTGTACCATACTTTTATATAATATATAAAGAAATAACTTAGCAAGTATAATCACTGAAACTCATTTTTATTGAAAATGATTTCAGTCATTTAACAATTTCAGAAAGAGAACTCGAGGAAGTACTAAGAAATACTACTTCAATTCAGGAGTTGGCAATATTCCGAATGAACTAATTAAACAATTAACAATTATTGGACACAAAATATCATTCGACTTATGTAATTGCATATAAATTAATAAAATAATTTCTAAAAAATGGAATGAAGCCATAGTTGACAATATTGAAGTTTGGCAAGCACCTATCCAAGCACCTATCCAAATCTGAAAGTTATAAACCTATTGCTGTCACATATAATCTATGCAAAATATTAGAAAAAATTGTGAACTATCTATTTAAATGGTTCCTCGAATATAAGATATAATATAACATAATTATTACTAACAACCAATTTGAATTTTGAAGTAGTCATTCTAGTACATCTCATTTAATTAGTTTAGAAACTTATATACAAGAAACATTTAACAATAAATAGCATGTCCTTGCCATTAGTCTCGATATCGAAAAAGCCTATGACATGGTTTGGAAACATCATATTTTAACCAAACTCCAGAAAACTCTAGAAATTGTTGAAAACTTATGGCATTTCGTTAAAACTTTTATTTATAATAGAAACATTCATGTTCGTGTTAATGCTACCCTTTCAAGGAAAACAGAAATCGAAAATGGAATACCATAAGGATCTGTAATTAGTACTACATTTTTAATAGCTATTAATGATGTGTGTAAAATCTCTGTAATCTCCATCATCTCAAGATATTTGCTAATGATATCACAATTCTACATAAAGAAAAAAACATTATCACCTCTCAAAGTGTTCAATTGATGCTTAATAAGTGTATAACTGATATCTGAAGACGGACTTTAAATTCTACTAAAAAACTACTGAATGCATAAATGTTTTCATTACATTATGAAGTACATACTAGGTCTTGGAAATAATGCACATAAATTTGTTGCATCCACTAAAATCCTTAAAGTATATTTTGATTATAGACTTACATGGAATAAACATATTAGCAATTTGGCTGATAATTGCAAGCGAAGATTAAATATTATCAAATCTCTAATATATAATAACTGAGAGCTGATAAAGCTATTAAACCTATAAAACGATTATTCGAACTAAAATTAATTATGCATTTATGCAATTCTGCTAAACCATTTAAAAAAAATTTAATTTAAAATTTTAAAAAATTTAAAAAAAAAACTAGATCCAATTCATAATACAAGGCTAAGAATAACAACAGAGTCTTTTACACAAGTCTAATTGGAAGCATACTAATTGAAGCTGGAGAGCCATCCGTATATAATACATATAATATATATAATACAGAAGAAAACTAAATTTAAAATACGCAATAAAGGCAGCAACATCTTCCAACTTTATTATATTTTCAAACATTTACTCAAATAATCGAATTTAAGCGAAATCCAAATCAAGAAATACTCTATCAAAGAATAATAAATATTTAGAAGAAATTAACTTCAATCCTTTTGCCATAGAAAAACACAAAATCCATAAAATTCTTCTCTGAATACTTAAGATCCTCTATTGATTTAACATTGGTAACATATAAAAATTAACACAAAAATTATCCAATGAAGATTGGAAAAATATTAAATATTTGTCTTAAATATCCTATCTTTACCCGTATACACTGATGGCTCCAAAAATAAAGAATATGGAATCGAAGTTATTTTCTTTTCTCAAAACATTTCAGTTAAGCATAATCTGAACACTTTTAAGTGCCCGCTCGGCTGAAATATTTACATTCCTCATAGCCCTCAAATTTATTAATAGTGATTTTTTAGATCACTTCAAGTATATCATATTTTCTGACTTCCTTGCGACACTTCTATACTCAAAAAACTAAATAGTCGATAGAAATATACATAGACTTATTCAACAAAATAATCAGAAAAATAGCAAAATAATAGTTCTAGCATGAGTTTCATCTCATAATGATATCTACGGAAATGCAATGACCGATATTGAAGCAAAAATAATAGTTATTCTTCGAACATACAATCAACCTATTTACAATACATACTCGGACATCAACAAACACATATTATTAAAACAATCCTGGATAGCAACATAGAAAAACATATAAAATAAGTCCGCTTCATAAATCAGAAATTTCTTTGATCTACAAATGAATTCAAAATTCAACTGAAGCAATTGGTAATAATGTGAATCAGAAATAATGCATATATAACAAGCTCTCTCACCTACATCTACTCAACAGAAGCCAATCAATATGCGAAAAATATAACATATGAATTATCACAAATCACATCATCCTTGACTACTTTAATTTAAAGTTAAGAGGAAGTTGGACATTGGTAATAGTCTCAATAAAGCTATTTCATCTATTATTACCAGGATATCCTAATGAGATTCTGCGAGAGCATCGAGATTTTCATCAAATTATAACTTCAAATTTTTATAAATCGCTAATAACCTATGATGTTGATGTGATGTTAAACTTATTAAATAAAAAAAAAAAGAAATAAATTAAAATAAATAAAATCAAAATATCAATATAAAAAACAAATATTCTTAATATTTTTCAAATATATTAATAATATAAATAACTATATAATAATATAATACTATTTTAAAAATTTACTATATCAAATAAAATGTTTCATTTTTAAAATAATGTGCATATTTGAATAATAATAATAAAATAATAAATAACAATAAATAAAATAAAATAATAATAAATAATAAATAATAAAATATATTTTATATACTATATATTTTATATTACTATTTATTCTGAAATATTTTATTTAGTTTTGAATTGCTATACCTGAAATTCAAAGAACTTGATTTTTAATATTATTTAGATTAAAAGTAATATTATATTGTATATTTGATTTTATATTCATTTAAAAAAACATTTTATTTTATTGTTAATTCGAATATACATTTATAATTATTATTTTTTGAATTTTATCCTTGTTATTTTATGTTGATGTAAAATTACTTAATTAAAAAGTAGATCTCACTTATTTTTAAAAAATTTTTAAA